ATAGGATCAGCAATGGACTGTGAACCATAAGGTTGGCAGTTCAAACCCACCAGCTGCTCCTTGGAAACCCTATCCAGGGTCACTGTGAGTCGGAGCCAACTCAACAGCACTAAACAACAATCCCTGCTTTGTGTAAGTTGTTTACTTCATAGTTGAAACTTAAATACTCATAGAACCTGGGCATTAAAGTAAGAAATCAGGTGAAGATTGTTACAGAATCCCTTTCCAGAGTCATCTTGTTGTTGTTAAGGGTCTTAGCATTGGATCTGACTCATAGCGACCCCATATACGATTTCTGAGGAGCAGCTAGTGAGTTTGAACCACCAACTTTGCGGTTCAAACTGACCTTATGTTCAAGTGTTTATCCGACAGCATCACAATACTGATGGAGAAATCCTCTCGCTTCAACCCTGACACCTGAGGCAAACCCAAACTGGAAAGGGGGTTACCCCTCTGACCGTAATATGTAACCAGCAACCAAATTAAATAGTGGACATATTTTAAAACCCTACATTTTCAAGGGTAGCGTCTCTGTTCTCTGGTTTTGAAACACTCATTGTCCAGATTGTTAAATGTCATTTTCCCCCTTCCTAGTAAAGTGTGTGTGTGTGTGTGTGTGTGTGTGTGTGTGTGTGTGTGTTTGGTAAAAGATGACATAGGGATCCTGATTCTGAGGCTACTGCTTCTCTCATTAGTGACGACATAGCATCTTGGGTCCCTGGGATTACTTACTGTGGATGCAGGGATGAGCATACAAGTCTGAGACCCATCTACATCTATTCCTAGCCCACTCCCCTTCTCTCTTCTACAGAACTGCAAGTCCAGAGTTGAGCTGAAAGGTGATGTCTGAGATGCTTGCATGACAACGGGGCCATCAAGGCCCAGCAGAGCGGGGACATATCTGGCCATGTATTGGGTGAGTCCCCCCTGCCTAGGTGGGCAGCACCCTGCCTTCTTACCCTGGTCTGGGCAGGTGAATGCAGGTCTGGGGGATTAGAATCACTGACTGCAGGCCTTTCTGAAGAAAGTCACATAGGCACCCAATAAAGCAACATCCGGCCCTAAAGACTTCAAGTGAAAAATTCACATCTCGACGGCTGGCCCTTATTTAGAGCTTTTTGGGAAAGGAGGAAGATGAGAAAACCACTTCAAGACTTTGTCTTCATTGGGTCGTGCTCGTTACTAATGCACGAAGAAGCAACCTGGATATAGACTTATGGGCACGAGTCTTAGGCGTCATATGTCACCACGCTGGGAGCACTGTGTGTCTAGACTGGACCCAGAGAGCCACCAGGCTGAGCTTGCACCAGGTGCTAACAAAGCCAGCTGCCCTAGGCTGGTCAGAAGACCCGGCCCTGAAGAAAAGATGCAGATTTGAGGGTTTGAGTCAAGAGCAATTTAGGAAGAGCTCATTTTCTTGTGTGTCCAAAACCAAAATAGAAAAACCAAAAGCAAGACCGTGGACTGTGGAGTTAATAAGGACTCTCGGTGACCGCACGTGTGCAGAGTCGAGCCTGGTGCTAGAGAGTCTCGTCAATGGCGGATCATTCAGAATTAGCTAGCCAGGTCTTTCTTCCGAGGAGCCCCTTTGTGTGTTTGAACTGCCAACACTTACACTGCCACCCGAGGACTCATTCTCCTGCACCCTAACTCACTGCTGTTGAGCTGAGTCCGACTCCTAGTGACCCTGGAGGACAGAGGAGAACAACCACCCCATAGGGTTTCCAACGCTGCCATCTTTATGGGAGCAGACTGTCTCATCTGTCTCCTGAGAAGCAGCTGGTGGGTTCGAACCCCGGACCTTTCAGTTAGCAGCCCAATGTTTAACTAAGCACTATACCACCAGCTGCTCCGCGGGAGAAAGATGAGGCTTTCTACTCCCGTAAAGATTTACACCCTCGGAAACCCTGTACAGGGTCGCTATGAGTCGGTTCCGACTCCACGGCACATAACAACAACAACAACAACATACCACCTGAAGCAGGGACAATGCAGCCCTTCCCAAATACTGCCCACTCCCAGTGTCTCCGGCCTTGACTTCCATAAGGGCTGAAGAGAAATAAATATGAGAACAGTAGCAATAAAACAGACTTGTAGACCGCAGTACCGACACGTGAGTCTGTAGTTGATTTTATTTTAACAGAAAACCCTGGCAACCCACAGCCAACTTTCCTCTGTTGCCATAACTTGGGTTTGGGACAGCCAGCTGCATCCTGGAGCACACCACCGTTGCATCTAACAGTGGAAGAGATACAGTGACGTCCTGAGTGGTGGAGGGAAGGAAGTGGGGAACCACCCTAGCGTTCACGTCGTGGGGGTTTAAGTGAAGAAAGAAGTCATTTGGGAAAATCTTATATTATAAACACATATCATAATATGTACACACTCATACACATCCCAAAGAAACCCTACAAGAATTCCTTTTTTTTTTTCTTTCCAACTGAAGGCTTCGCCATGACAAAGCATTCCTATGGTGGGAATTAAGCTAAAATGAAATAATTTAAGAATTTCATTTATACGAGATCTGCGTTCACTACACAGTCTACACTAAAGGCCATGTGGAGGTAATGGTGTGTAGCTGGGTTACAACAGTAATGCACGCTTTCAAAAATACGCAATGACTATTTTTTTCCCCTTCTGGTTCACATTTAAAATGACTATACAGTGATGAAACACAGAATTTAAAAAAAAACAAAAAAACAACGAATGGCAGAATTATGGAATTTTTGTCATGGTTCTCAGACCTGTGGTGTCTGTACCTATTATTCTTTGACACTGATGAGTTCCACTGAATTTTATTTAAAAAACATAAAAACACAACCCAACCCACTGCAGTCGAGTGGATTCTGACTCCTAACGACCCTGGAGGACAGAGGAGAACCACCACCCCACAGGGTTTCCAACGCTGCCATCTTCATGGAGACAGACCGCGCCCCGTCTGTCTCCCAAGGAACGAACGGCTGGTGGCTTGGAACCATCGACCTTTTGGTTGGCAGCCAAGTGCATAACCACCACGCTGTCAGCATTTCAAACTGAGTATGAGATTAGACTTGCCCATGAGACACACAGTCACATAGAAATTCTGTGTAAAACTTTCTATTTTTTCCCCCACCTACTTTAATATTTTTTTTGAAAAAGTGATAGAAAGGGGAAAACTTACAAAATATAATGTTCCATATAAAGGAGCAAGGGACTTTTCCTGTGGTGGCTGGTACTGTATTTCTCTCCATACTATGGTCTTTATGTGACAATATATCTATCCCCCCTGTCATTTTGCTCAAGGGCTCTAGACAATATTGCCCCTGTTTCTTTTTAACCTAAAGCAATGGGTGATGATTTCACGTGCTCTGTTTGACCACCATGTTGAGGCATTCCCAAACCACCATAATGGCAAAACCAGTAACTGATTAGAGCTGGACCACCAAGTCCAAGTCTTAAGGACGCTTCTGAGACTTGGGGCCATAGGATGGACAGTGGCTGGTCATGGCCGGCTATTGCAAAGCACTCTTGTCTGGGATTTGGAAACCACCCCTTCCTGTTGCTTAGGCCAAGTGGCATCCGATCTGAACCAGGCTTTCAGCCAGTTAGAAATCACGTGTCTCTACCTCTTGGCTTTTATCTTCTCTCCTTTTGCTTTCTTGGTTTTTAAGAAGCAGCTCAGGTCACCACCTTATCCTGATCTCTTCCCTTTGAGAAGCAGTGTATCATCTTAATACAAGTATTTTCCACGTACAGTGATCTGCGACCCTCTCAGCTGAACTGGTAAATTATCAGTTCACATCCAGTTCAATTTGTAAATGGGTGGAGGTGCCATTTGTCTGTACAGAAATCAATGCATATTTATGAACATCTTTTATTCAAATAGACTTTCTACACATCTTATCTAAAGCCTGAATACAGAAACCTGTGTCCCTAGGGCTGTGTAGCCCTGGGGTGACACAGCCCCAACACATTCACCTTGGTAATAAGGACCCCAAATATCTCTTATGACGGGGGAAAAAAACAAAAAAGCCTTTTATAGATTTCTTTAGCTGACTCGGTGTATCGGAGTTGTCACTCCTAGCTGGTACTCTTTCTCTTCTCTTTGGAATTTCACAGTCGCCCGAGATTTATTTATTTTTCCCTTTTTGTTTTTACACCAAAGAGGCTGAGCTCACAGAATCCTCAGCCACTGATTTCCTCTCTTTGGACTGAAAAATTAAACAGATACTAAATTATGACAGTGAATTTAGAAAGGAGGGCTCCGAGGGCTTGGAAGAACACATCGGGAGAATATGATTCGGCTAAGAATATTGCAATCACATTCCGGCAATCGCTGGAGCGTGCCGCGTAACTACCTCCTCGGCTAATACGCTTTCTTCTGGATGATGACTAATCATGTTCTATTAAACAGCGGCAAGGCTGGAAGAACTCAGCTATAGGAGTGTAATGAAGCCAGTATTCTCCTTGGACAGATTAGCTACAACTGATTTGACACATACCATCATAGGAGCTTCAGATCTGACAAACTCTGGGCTTGCTTCTGATTTATGCCGTCAAGCTCTTGGGGAAGAGATGAGATTCAAGTGTTCCGTTTGGTAGAGGTGAAATGTACTGATGTGCTTAACTGCCAGTTAAGGAAAGTTACCCCTTCTCCTTGCTTCTGCCTGCCTGCCCCGAGTGTGCATCCCCCCTGGTCCCTGTGCCGTCCGCCCACCCGCCTGCCGCGCGAGTCTGCTGGTCACAGGGTGGACAAGGGTCCCATGGCATCGTGTGCTATCATCAGGGGACCAAAGAGTGTCCTGGCGTGTCCTGTTTGTCTCTAGGGAGGTGTAAGGAAGAGAGGTGGGTCCTGCGGCCTCCTGCCTCCTCCTGGCTCTCTCAGGACAGTCTGGTCCGGGAGTGTGATGTCACGGGGTGGGGGTGGACAACGGGACCTGGGCGGACTCACACATGCAGTCACTTCCAGGAGCAGAGGCTGGCCCAGGCTGTGTGGTGTTGGCAGGTCCCAGCGTGGCCTGTCAGATGATGGTAGGCATCCTCCCACTGCTGTTGTTACGGTTGTTGCTCTTCCGGGACAGGTTCAGGTTTGGGGTGGCCATAAGCACGAAGCGCTCATCGGGACAGCCGTACTGCAGTAGAACTTCCGTGCACTCTGGGCTGGAGGCCTGCCGGGCATAGGCCAGCGCTGTGTTCCCGTGGGCATCTCGGGCCATGATGTCCACACCGTACTGTGGGCAACAGAGTTCACGTTAGTGTCCCTACTGCTGGGGGAGGGGACAGGAAAGAGGAGGTGATGAAGGGATTGGTGAGGGGGAGAGGAGGAGGTGAGGGACAGAGAGAGGGAGGTG